TGTGGTGTATGATGGTAGGTGACACAGGTCTAGTGTGGTGTATGATGGTGGGTGACACAGGTCTAGTGTGGTGTATGATGGTGGGTGACACAGATCTAGTGTGGTGTATGATGGTGGGTGACACAGGTCTAGTGTGGTGTATGATGGTAGGTGACACAGGTCTAGTGTGGTGTATGATGGTGGGTGACACAGATCTAGTGTGGTGGTGTATGTGGAGTGACACAGGTCTAGTGTGGTGTATGATGGTGGGTGAGACAAATCTAGTGTGGTGTATGATGGTGGGTGACACAGGTCTAGTGTGGTGTATGATGGTAGGTGACACAGGTCTAGTGTGGTGTATGATGGTAGGTGACACAGGTCTAGTGTGGTGTATGATGGTAGGTGACACAGGTCTAGTGTGGTGTATGATGGTAGGTGACACAGGTCTAGTGTGGTGTATGATGATGGGTGACACAGATCTAGTGTGGTGTATGATGGTAGGTGACACAGGTCTAGTGTGGTGTATGATGATAGGTGACACAGATCTAGTGTGGTGTATGATGGTAGGTGACACAGGTCTAGTGTGGTGTATGATGGTAGGTGACACAGGTCTAGTGTGGTGTATGATGGTAGGTGACACAGGTCTAGTGTGGTGTGTGATGGTAGGTGACACTGGGTCTAGTGTGTGGTGTATGATGGTGGGTAACACAGGTCTAGTGTGGTGTATGATGGTAGGTGACACAGATCTAGTGTGGTGTATGATGGTGGGTGACACAGGTCTAGTGTGGTGTATGATGGTAGGTGACACAGGTCTAGTGTGGTGTATGATGGTGGGTGACACAGATCTAGTGTGGTGTATGATAGTGGGTGACACAGGTCTATTGTGAGGTGTATGTATGATGGTAGGTGACACTTAGATCTAGTGTGGTGTATGATGGTGGGTGACACAGGTCTAGTGTGGTGTATGATGATAGGTGACACAGGTCTAGTGTGGTGTAAGATGATAGGTGACACAGATCTAGTATGGTGTATGATGGTGGGTGACACAGATCTAGGGTGATGTATGATGGTAGGTGACACAGGTCTAGTGTGGTGTATGATGGTGGGTGACACAGATCTAGTGTGGTGTATGATGGTAGGTGAGCACAGGTCTAGTGTGTGATGTATGATGGTAGGTGAGCACAGAATCTAGTGAGTGGTGTATGATGGTAGGTGACACAGGTCTAGTGTGGTGTATGATGGTAGGTGACACAGATCTAGTGTGGTGTATGATGGTGGGTGACACAGGTCTAGTGTGGTGTGGTGTGATGGTAGGTGACACAGGTCTAGTGTGGTGTATGATGGCGGGTGACACAGGTCTAGTGTGGTGTATGATGGTAGGTGACACAGGTCTAGTGTGGTGTATGATGGTAGGTGACACAGGTCCTAGTGTGGTGTATGATGGTGGGTGACACAAGGTCCTAGTGTGTGGTGTATGATGGTAAGTGACACAGATCTAGTGTGGTGTGTGATGGTGGGTGACACAGGAATCTAGTGTGGTGTATGATGGTAGGTGACACAGGTCTAGTGTGGTGTATGATGGTAGGTGACACAGGTCTAGTGTGATGAAGAAGATGATAGGTGACACAGGTCTAGTGTGGTGCAAGGTGTCTATTGGTGTATTTAGGTGACACAGGTCTAGTGTGGTGTATGATGGTGGGTGACACAGAATCTAGTGTGGTGTGTATGATGATAAGGTGACACAGATCTAGTGTGGTGTATGATGGTAGGTGACACAGGTCTAGTGTGGTGTATGATGGTAGTTGACACAGATCTAGTGTGGTGTATGATGATACGTGACACAGGTCTGCAGTGTGGTGTGTGATGGTAGGTGACACAGGTCTAGTGTGGTGTATGATGGTGGGAACACAGGTCTAGTGTGGTGTATACATGATGGTGGGTGAAACAAATCTAGTGTGGTGTATGATGGTGTGGGTGACACAGGTCTAGTGTGGTGTATGATGGTAGGTGACACAGGTCTAGTGTGAGTGTATGATGGTAGGTGACACAGGTCTAGTGTGTGATGTGTATGATGGTAGGTGACACAGATCTAGTGTGGTGTATGATGGTAGGTGAGACAGGTCTAGTGTGGTGTATGATGATGGGTGACACAGATCTAGTGTGGTGTATGATGATAGGGTGACACAGGTCTAGTGTGGTGTAAGATGATAGGTGACACAGATCTAGTGTGTGGTGTATGATGGTAGGTGACACAGGTCTTGTGTGGTGTATGATGGTAGGTGACACAGGTCTAGTGTGGTGTGTGATGGTAGGTAGGGTGACACAGGTCTAGTGTGGTGTATGATGGTGGGTAACACAGGTCCTAGGTAGGGGCTGGGTGGTGTGGTGTATGATGGTGGGTGACACAGATCTAGTGTGGTGTATGATGGTGGGTGACACAGGTCTAGTGTGGTGTATGATGGTAAGGTGACACAGGTCTAGTGTGGTGTATGATGGTGGGTGACACAGATCTAGTGTGGTGTATGATGGTGGAGTGACACAAGTCTAGGTCTATTGTGATGTATGATGATAGGTGGTGGCAGAATCTAGTGTGTGTGGTGTATGATGGTGGGTGACACAGGTCTAGTGTGGTGTATGATGATAGGTGACACAGGTCTAGTGTGGTGTAAGATGATAGGTGACACAGATCTAGTATGGTGTATGATGGTGGGTGACACAGATCTAGGGTGATGTATGATGGTAGGTGACACAGGTCTAGTGTGGTGTATGATGGTGGGTGACACAGATCTAGTGTGGTGTATGATGGTGGGTGACACAGGTCTAGTGTGATGTATGATGGTAGGTGACGCACGCAGATCTAGTGTGGTGTATGATGGTAGGTGACACAGGTCTAGTGTGGTGTATGATGGTGGGTGACACAGGTCTAGTGTGGTGTATGATGGTAGGTGACACAGGTCTAGTGTGGTGTATGATGGTAGGTGACACAGGTCTAGTGTGGTGTATGATGGTAGGTGAGACAGGTCTAGTGTGGTGTATGATGGCGGGTGACACAGGTCTAGTGTGGTGTATGATGGTAGGTGACACAGGTCTAGTGTGGTGTATGATGGTGGGTGACACAGGTCTAGTGTGGTGTATGATGGTGGGTGACACAGGTCTAGTGTGGTGTATGATGGTGGGTGACACAGATCTAGTGTGGTGTGTGATGGTGGGTGACACAGATCTAGTGTGGTGTATGATGGTAGGTGACACAGGTCTAGTGTGATGTATGATGGTAGGTGACACAGGTCTAGTGTGGTGGAAGATGATAGGTGACACAGGTCTAGTGTGGTGGAAGATGGTAGGTGACACAGGTCTAGTGTGGTGTATGATGGTGGGTGACACAGATCTAGTGTGGTGTATGATGATAGGTGACACAGATCTAGTGTGGTGTATGATGGTAGGTGACACAGGTCTAGTGTGGTGTATGATGGTAGGTGACACAGATCTAGTTTGGTGTATGATGGTGTGTTATACAGGTTACATGCAGTGTATGACGGTGTGTTATACATTTTACATGCAGTGTATGACGGTGTGTTATACAGGTTACTTGCAGTGTATGACGGTGTGTTACACAGGTTACATGCAGTGTATGATGGTGTGTTATACAGGTTACATGCAGTGTATGATGGTGTGTTATACAGGTTACATGCAGTGTATGACGGTGTGTTATACAGGTTACATGCAGTGTATGATAGTGTGTTATACAGGTTACATGCAGTGTATGATGGTGTGTTATACAGGTTACATGCAGTGTATGATGGTGTTTTATACAGGTTACATGCAGTGTATGATAGTGTGTTATACAGGTTACATGCAGTGTATGATGGTGTGTTATACAGGTTACATGCAGCGTATGACGGTGTGTTATACAGGTTACATGCAGTGTATGATGGTGTGTTATACAGGTTACATGCAGTGTATGACGGTGTGTTATACAGGTTACATGCAGTGTATGATGGTGTGTTATACAGGTTACATGCAGTGTATGATGGTGTGTTATACAGGTTACATGCAGTGTATGACGGTGTGTTATACAGGTTACATGCAGTGTATGATGGTGTGTTATACAGGTTACATGCAGTGTATGACGGTGTGTTATACAGGTTACATGCAGTGTATGATAGTGTGTTATACAGGTTACATGCAGTGTATGATGGTGTGTTATACAGGTTACATGCAGTGTATGATGGTGTTTTATACAGGTTACATGCAGTGTATGATAGTGTGTTATACAGGTTACATGCAGTGTATGATGGTGTGTTATACAGGTTACATGCAGCGAGCATGACGTGTGTTATACAGGTTACATGCAGTGTATGATGGTGTGTTATACAGGTTACATGCAGTGTATGACGGTGTGTTATACAGGTTACATGCAGTGTATGATGGTGTGTTATACAGGTTACATGCAGTGTATGATGGTGTGTTATACAGGTTACATGCAGTGTATGATGGTGTGTTATACAGGTTACATGCAGTGTATGATGGTGTGTTATACAGGTTACATGCAGTGTATGATGGTGTGTTATACAGGTTACATGCAGTGTATGACGTGTGTTATACAGGTTACATGCAGTGTATGATAGTGTGTTATACAGGTTACATGCAGTGTATGATGGTGTTATACAGGTTACATGCAGCGTATGACGGTGTGGTTATACAGGTTACATGCAGTGTATGATGGTGTGTTATACAGGTTACATGCAGTGTATGATGGTGTGTTATACAGGTTACATGCAGTGTATGATGGTGTGTTATACAGGTTACATGCAGTGTATGATGGTGTGTTATACAGGTTACATGCAGTGTATGACGGTGTGTTATACAGGTTACATGCAGTGTATGATGGTGTGTTATACAGGTTACATGCAGTGTATGATGGTGTGTTATACAGGTTACATGCAGTGTATGAAGTTTTGTCTGTCACGATGGCCTGCCATGAGACAGTGTCCTGAACTCAACATCTCTGTGTTTTGTTGCAGGAGCCACTGAGTCCTATCCAAGTCTCAATAAGTGGTGTGGCTATGACACTCCAACTGTTTCCTCCAGTGGTCCCGTTCTCTTCTTAAAGTTCCGTACAGATGGTTCAGGAAACAAAAAAGGCTTCCGGCTGGAGTATGTGGGAGTCAACACTGGCTACTGTAAGTTACAGATCCCCACCTATTGTTGCCATGGCTACTACAAGTCCCAAATTCCTACCTATTGTTGCCATAGCTACTGTAAGTCTCAGATCCCTACTTATTGTTGCCATTGCTTCTGTAAGTGCAAGATCCCTACCTATTGTTGCCATGGCTGCTGTAAGTCCAAGATCCCTACCTATTGTTGCCATGGCTACTATAAGTTCCAGATCCATACCTATTGTTGCCATGGCTACTGTAAGTCTCAGATCCCTACCTATTGTTGGTTTGTTGTTTAATGCCACACTAATGCCGTAAATAATGCAATCTGGATCATACAATCCAGTGATCAACAGCATGAGGATCAATTTACACAATTGGGATACGATGACATGTGTCAGCAAACATGACTACCTGATCTCGATAGTCACCTCTTACGACAAGCATGGGTTACTGAAGTCCATTCTAACTGGGATCTTCCCGTGTTATGGCTACTATAATTGTGCAATTTCTTACCAATGGTTGCTATGACTACTGTAAATCACTGATTTCATCCTACCTATTTGTGCCATGGTTGCTATATAGCTCCTCTACTCTCATACGTATTTGATTCCAGCATGTATATCAAACTCTCCACTGAAAGTGATATTTCCCTCCAGTGTGTTACCATGGTTATTTGTTTGACCAGATGATGCTCCCTCTTCCACGACGTCCCTCAAGGCGGGTACTATTGCCGGTGTTGTCTGTGGCTGTGTTGTCGTCACCTCCATCCTCATCATTGCCATGATTGTCATCATTCGCCGCCGACAGAAGAATCAACAGAATGCTGACCTGAGTGGAAGAAGGTCAGGGTCACGCTGGCGGAGTCGGTCATACCGAGAGCAGCCATGGGAGGTGAACCAGGTGTTTTATTCTGGGGAGTCTGCGGGCTACATAACAGCCCCACCCCCCTACAGCCTGGTTGCAGGGTCACATATTCCCCATGATCCCCCAACCCCTTACCCCGCAGCTGAGTTTACTCTCCCATTGAAGGACGAGGACGAAGAGCAAACACCACCTTATGATGCACCTAGAGATGACACTGGTAACTCAACTGGTAGAGAGGACATCTCTCCTGGTACACACGGCTCTGACAGACAGTGTGGGAGTCCAAGAGTCCAGAGAGATGCGGAGGATAGTTCGGACAAGCTGGATGGTTGTGTCCAGCCACGTTTCAGACAGACTGGTGGGTCTGGGCTGGGGCGGGCTACAAGTGTCGATAACCTGGTGCCTCGTCACAAACCTCTCAGTGTTGCTTCTTCAGTTGTTCTGCCTGAGATAACATCACAGAATCGAGCAGTGAGTGTGGGTGACCTGTTGTTAGGAGGAGCTACAGGTCAAGGCTTCCACTGCCAGACTTCCCAGTCAGAGACAGTACTTAACAGAGGGCTGGATTCACCTGGTGCCAATGAAGGACAAAGTCGACATCCACGGTCAAGGCATCGACTAGAAAGACAGTCCCCAAGACACAAGCAGTGCGGCTCAACCACAAACACTGCCCCTGCCCGTGGGCTTCATGGGGCATCAGCGCCTAATGTTTCAGGGGCATCTGAACAGGCAGGATCTAATCACCGGTATACGCAGAGACGACATCTCACTGACAAGGCGAGGGAAAAGCGTGGGAATCTAAGATCAGAATTTAAGGCAATGAGAGAACGGTCACGTTCCCACGACAACCTGACAAGTGACAGATTGTTGTCCAATGCTACTCGGAATCCAAGGTGGTCTGTGGCATCAGAGGGCTACAGGAATGACGGTTGGTCCGAAAATCCCAGTGGTAGATTTGGGGAGGCCAGGTATGACAATCCGTTGTTCTCTAATGCAGATATCAAGACTAGTCGATCCAGAATGTCACACGGATGCGTCGGGTCACTTACTGGTGATAGAATGGACAATGCTGGTTCCATGTTGGCCAGCAGAGACAGGAGGCTAGCAGGTGATGTCAATGTGGAGACAGATGAGGATCTAGAACCCAGTTTTGTAAACAGAAATCTCAGCCTGGAGCAAGAGGAAGCACACAATACAAACCGGCTCCGTACCACAGAGACATCAGTGTAGGTCAAGCGAAGACATATGGGGCAGCTGTATTAGACCAGGTACATGTGAACACGACTCAGCAGCAGGTTTCTGTGAACACGTCATGTCTGCAGCAAGTCCGTGTGAACATGTCATGTCTGCAGCAAGTCCGTGTGAACATGTCATGTCTGCAGCAAGTCCATGTGAACATGTCATGTCTGCAGCAAGTCGATGTGAACATGTCATGTCTGCAGCAAATCCGTGTGAACATGTCATATCTGTAGCAAGTCCATGTGAACATGTCATATCTGCAGCAAGTCCATGTGAACATGTCATGTCTGCAACAAGTCCATGTGAACATGTCATGTCTGCAGCAAGTCCGTGTGAACATGTCATGTCTGCAGCAAGTATGTGTGAACATGTCATATCTGCAGCAAGTCCGTGTGAACATGTCATATCTGCAGCAAGTCTGTGTGAACATGTCATATCTGCAGCAAGAAAGAGAGATTGCCTCCCCTTCTAGCTTCATTGTCTGTTTTCACCTTCCAAAGTGTTATCTAGAATGATGACTGTGAAGACATTTGTGGTATGATTATTTCACTGAATGCAGCTTTTGTTTTGTTAATGAAATTTTGCATCTGATTTTTGTGTCTTCCAATAAAGTGTCTAAAGGTGGATCACAAAAACCCATGTCACCTAGTTTTATCTGACATGATGGTGACATACAGCAAAGCCTTTGCGTGATGTGTGTTGTATATCACTTTATAGAACACTGTGTAATGTGACAATGTGTGATAAATGTAGGATGTGTGATACAGAAGTTTATATGCAGTGGATGATGTAAGAGATTCAGTTACAGTGTTTGATGTAACAGTTTATGTAACAATGTTTGATATAAGTTTCTGTGAGTGTTTGATGTAACACTGTATAGGAGGGTGTTTGATGTAACACTTTATAGGACAGTGTTACATGTAAGAGTTTGTGTGAGTGTTTGATGTAACACTGTAAAGGACGGTGTTACATGTAACAGTTTCTGTGACAGTGTTTGATGTAACAGTTTATAGGACAGTGTTTGATGTAACAGTTTCTGTGACAGTGTTTGATGTAACACTTTATAGGACAGTGTTTGATGTAACACTGTATAGGACAATGTTTGATGTAACACTTTATAGGACAGTGTTACATGTAACAGTTTCTGTGATAGTGTTTGATGTAACACTGTATAGGACAGTGTTTGATGTAACAGTTTCTGTGACAGTGTTTGATGTAACATTTTATAGGACAGTGTTACAAGAAACAGTTTCTGTGACAGTGTTTGATGTAACAGTTTCTGTGACTGTGTTTGATGTAACACTTTATAGGACAGTGTTTGATGTAACACTTTATAGGACAGTGTTTGATGTAACACTGTATAGGACAGTGTTTGGTGTAACACTTTATAGGACAGTGTTTAATGTAACACTGTATAGGACAGTGTTTGATGTAACAGTTTCTGTGACAGTGTTTGATGTAACAGTTTCTGTGACAGTGTTTGATGTAACAGTTTCTGTGTCTGTGTTTGATGTAACAGTTTCTGTGACTGTGTTTGATGTAACACTTTATAGGACAGTGTTTGATGTATCACTTTCTGTGACAGTGTTTGATGTAACAGTTTCTGTGACAGTGTTTGATGTAACAGTTTCTGTGACAGTGTTTGATGTAACAGTTTCTGTGACAGTGTTTGATGTAACAGTTTCTGTGACTGTGTTTGATGTAAGACTTTATAGGACAGTGTTTGATGTACTGTGTTTGATGTTCTGTGACAGTGATGTAACACTTTATACGTAACACTTTATAGGACAGTGTTTGATGTAACAGTTTCTGACAGTGTTTTGATGTGTTATAGGACAGTGTTTGATGTAACACTTTATAGGACAGTGTTTGATGTAACACTTTATAGGATAGTGTTTGATGTAACAGTTTCTGTGACAGTGTTTGATGTAACACTTTATTGGACAGTGTTTGATGTAACTCTTTATAGGACAGTGTTTGATGTAACACTGTATAGGACAGTGTTTGGTGTAACACTTTATAGGACAGTGTTTGATGTAACACTTTATAGGACAGTGTTACATGTAACAGTTTCTGTGACAGTGTTTGATGTAACACTTTATAGGACAGTGTTTGGTGTAACACTTTATAGGACAGTGTTTGATGTAACAGTTTCTGTGACAGTGTTTGATGTAACAGTTTCTGTGACAGTGTTTGAATGTAACAGTTTCTGTGACTGTGTTTGATGAGACAGTGTTTTATATAACATTCTATATACGTCATTTCACCATGTTCTATACATTGTGTATAGTATATCTACCCATATCTACCAGGATTAATGAATTTAATATACATGTATATAGCAGGATTGTTTATGTTATATATCTACCATGGTGATTATATTGAATTTGCCTATCTACATATTCCATATGAGTGTCTGATGATGATGGAGGGTTTCCAGGTATGGTCAGACATCAGCTGGTCAAGACATGCAAGCCGCACGATGTCAGGGGACAAGTGTATTAAGGAAGAGAGTTTTTATGGATGTCAACCTCTTTATTATGAGGAACACAATGTTTTGGAGAAGGTCCTTACTCCTTCATCAGGTGAATGATCATTATGTGTGGAACATCTAAATGCCATTTAAAGACCTGACGAGTGTATGTCTTTCTTCTTGCTCTATTTGATATGTTTCATATTGTTTGTAACTTTGATGCATATTGCCAGCTGTATGTGCTGGGGGTGGAGAGCCACATTGCGTGTGTCTAGTCCTGTGTATACATATTTAGATTCTCGGCTATTTTCCTGATCTGCCTGCTGTAATGTAGGTGATATATGTATATTTAGATTCTCTGTGATTCTGTGTCACGATGTGCCTGATCTGCCTGCTGTAAGGTAGGTGATATATGTATATTTAGATTCTCTGTGATTCTGTGTCACGATGTGCCTGATCTGCCTGCTGTAAGGTAGGTGATATATGTATATTTAGATTCTCTGTGATTCTGTGTCACGATGTGCCTGATCTGCCTGCTGTAAGGTAGGTGATATATACATCCACTCAGTGTGTACATGGAAGCTTGTCACACAAGCAGCTGGACTTGTGGTATGAGGGATTCAGTCACACACATAATCAGAAATCCATGTTCTGTTCAGAGAGAGTGCTTTGACTTGCCTTCCTGCCCTTAATATTGATGTGTTTCCAATCAGTTTAAATACGGAAATAAATGAGAAAATTATACTGTGTGTGTTTGTTACATGTTCCAAGCTGAAACTTAAACGTTAACTGAGAAATTTGCTGTAATTCACAATTGTATTTTATAATAAACTAAGTTCAGGAATCAAGTACAAATCAGTAGGGCACTAATAACGGGCTGACCTCCATGCTGCCGGGCATGCACTAAACTCATACAACATAACGGACCTTATTACCCCGCATAAACCAAGCTACCCATGACATGCTAGAAGGTTGATAGTCATATGACTTATCCCACGGGATATTCTTGACCATTCACTTGCCTATGTCAAGCCATATGCATCATTGTGGGGCAGGACAGAAGTCCGAGAAACTCACGGGATCTCAAGCTGCCGAACACGGCCACTAATCCAAGGATACTCTGTGACCAGCGTTGCTAATCATCAACTGATTTGTGACCTGAGCTCTAGGCACAAGACGTCCAAGCACAACAGCACAATGGTGTCGCCATGGCAGTACACAATGGAGTGGCATATTTTCTTCCTTTAAATAGAATACAGCATCCATATAGCTGAATTAATGGAATTTGTAGACTGCCATAGCTCACCACATGAGGTCACACAGACAACATGTAGCTAGTGTCACACAGACATGTAGCTAGTGTCACACAGACATGTAGCTAGTGTCACACAGACAACATGTAGCTAGTGTCACACAGACAACATGTAGCTAGTGTCACACAGACAACATGTAGCTAGTGTCACACAGACAACATGTAGCTAGTGTCACACAGACAACATGTAGCTAGTGTGTCACACAGACAACATGTAGCTAGTGTCACACAGACAACATGTAGCTAGTGTCACACAGACAACATGTAGCTAGTGTCACACAGACAACATGTAGCTAGTGTCACACAGACAACATGTAGCTAGTGTCACACAGACAACATGTAGCTAGTGTCACACAGACAACATGTAGCTAGTGTCACACAGACAACATGTAGCTAGTGTCACACAGACAACATGTAGCTAGTGTCACACAGACAACATGTAGCTAGTGTGTCACACAGACAACATGTAGCTAGTGTCACACAGACAACATGTAGCTAGTGTCACACAGACAACATGTAGCTAGTGTCACACAGACAACATGTAGCTAGTGTCACACAGACAACATGTAGCTAGTGTCACACAGACAACATGTAGCTAGTGTCACACAGACAACATGTAGCTAGTGTCACACAGACAACATGTAGCTAGTGTCACACAGACAACTAGTGTCACACAGACAACATGTAGCTAGTGTCACACAGACAACATGTAGCTAGTGTCCCACACAGACAACATGTAGCTAGTGTCACAGACAACATGTAGCTAGTGTCACACAGACAACATGTAGCTATGTGTCACACAGATGTAACATGTACACAGACAACATCACACAGACAACATGTAGCTAGTGTCACACAGACAACATGTAGCTAGTGTCACACAGACAACATGTAGCTAGTGTCACACAGACAACATGTAGCTAGTGTCACACAGACAACATGTAGCTAGTGTCACACAGACAACATGTAGCTAGTGTCACACAGACAACATGTAGCTAGTGTCACACAGACACAGTGACAGACACATGTAGCTAGTGTCACACAGACAACATGTAGCTAGTGTCACACAGACAACATGTAGCTAGTGTCACACAGACAACATGTAGCTAGTGTCACACAGACACAACATGTAGCTAGTGTCACACAGACAACATGTAGCTAGTGTCACACAGACAACATGTAGCTAGTGTCACACAGACAACATGTAGCTAGTGTCACACACACAGACAACATGTCACACAGACAACAGCTAGTGTCACACAGACAACAGCACAGACAACATGTAGCTAGTGTCACACAGACAACATGTAGCTAGTGTCACACAGACAACATGTAGCTAGTGTCACACAGACAACATGTAGCTAGTGTCACACAGACAACATGTAGCTAGTGTCACACAGACAACATGTAGCTAGTGTCACATGTACAGACAACATGTAGCTAGTGTCACACAGACAACATGTAGCTAGTGTCACACAGACAACATGTAGCTAGTGTCACACAGACAACATGTAGCTAGTGTCACACAGACAACATGTAGCTAGTGTCACACAGACAACATGTAGCTAGTGTCACACAGACAACATGTAGCTAGTGTCACACAGACAACATGTAGCTAGTGTCACACAGACAACATGTAGCTAGTGTCACACAGACAACATGTAGCTAGTGTCACACAGACAAGCAGTGTCACACAGACAACAGCTAGTGTCACACAGACAACATGTAGCTAGTGTCACACAGACAACATGTAGCTAGTGTCACACAGACAACATGTAGCTAGTGTCACACAGACAACATGTAGCTAGTGTCACACAGACAACATGTAGCTAGTGTCACACAGACAACATGTAGCTAGTGCCACACACAGACAACATGTAGCTAGTGTCAACACAGTGACAACATGTAGCTAGTGTCACACAGACAACATGTAGCTAGTGTCACACACAGACAACACAGACAACATGTAGCTAGTAGTGTCACACAGACAACATGTAGCTAGTCACACAGACAACATGTAGCTAGTGTGTCACACAGACAACATGTAGCTAGTGTCACACAGACAACATGTAGCTAGTGTCACACAGACAACATGTAGCTAGTGTCACACAGACAACATGTAGCTAGTGTCACACAGACAACATGTAGCTAGTGTCACACAGACAACATGTAGCTAGTGTCACACAGACAACATGTAGCTAGTGTCACACAGACAACATGTAGCATGTAGCTAGTGTCACACAGACAACATGCTAGTGTCACACAGACAACATGTAGCTAGCTAGTGTCACAGACAACATGTAGCTAGTGTCACACAGACAACATGTAGCTAGTGTCACACAGACAACATGTAGCTAGTGTCACACAGACAACATGTAGCTAGTGTCACACAGACAACATAGTAGCTAGTGTCACACAGACAACATGTAGCTAGTGTCACACAGACAACATGTAGCTAGTGTCACACAGACAACATGTAGCTAGTGTCACACAGACAACATGTAGCTAGTGTGTCACACAGACAACATGTAGCTAGTGTCACACAGACAACATGTAGCTAGTGCCACAGACAACATGTAGCTAGTGTCACACAGACAACATGTAGCTAGTGTCACACAGACAACATGTAGCTAGTGTCACACAGACAACATGTAGCTAGTGTCACACAGACAACATGTAGCACACAGACAACATGTAGCTAGTGTCACACAGACAACATGTAGCTAGTGTCACACAGACAACATGTAGCTAGTGTCACACAGACAACATGTAGCTAGTGTCACACAGACAACATGTAGCTAGTGTCACACAGACAACATGTAGCTAGTGTCACACAGACAACACAGCTAGTGTCACACAGACAACATGTAGCTAGTGTCACACAGACACACACAGACACATGTAGCTAGTGTCACACAGACAACATGTAGCTAGTGTCACACAGACAACATGTAGCTAGTGTCACACAGACAACATGTAGCTAGTGTCACACAGACATGTAGCTAGTAGTGTCACACAGACAACATGTAGCTAGTGTCACACAGACAACATGTAGCACACAGACACACAGACACACATGAACACAGACACACAGACAACATGTACTAGTGTCACACAGACAACATGTAGCAGACAGACACACAGACAACATGGAAACACACAGACAGACATGTAGCTAGTGACACACAGACAACATGTAGCTAGTGTCACACAGACAACATGTAACACATGACACACAGACAACACACAGACTAGTGTGGAACACAGACAACATGTAGCTAGTGACACAGACAACATGTAGCTAGACACACACAGACACACAGACACACACAGACACAGACAATCCAGTGTCACACAGACACACATGTAGCTAGACAGACACACAGACAGACATGTAGCTAGTGTCACACAGACCACATGACACAGACACAGACACACACACAACATGTAGCTAGTGACACACACACACATGTAGCCACACACACACAGACAACATGTAGCTAATCACACACACAGACAAATACACACATGTACAGTGTCACACAGACAACATGTAGCTAGTGTCACACAGACAACATGTAGCTAGTGTCACACAGACATGAGCTAACATGTCACACAGACAACATGTAGCCACAGTGTCACACAGACAACATGTAGCTAGTGCCACACAGACATGTAGCTGGTGTCACACACAGACATGTAGCTAGTGTCACACAGACAACATGCTAGTGTCCACACAGTGGCACAGACACACAGACAGACATGTAGCTAGTGTCACACAGACAACATGTAGCTAGTGTCACACAGACAACATGTAGCTAGTGTGTCACACAGACAGCATGTAGCTAGTGTCACACACAGACATGTAGCTAGTGTCACACAGACAACATGTGTCACACAGACAGCATGTAGTAGTGCCACACAGAAACACATGTAGCTAGTGTCACACACAGACAGACATGTAGCTAGTGTCACACAGACTTGGACATGTAGCTAGTGCCACACAGACATTGTAAGGCACAGTGTCACACAGACAACATGTAGCTAGTGCCACACAGACAACATGTAGCTAGTGTCACACAGACAACATGTAGCTAGTGTCACACAGACAACATGTAGCTAGTGTCACACAGACAAACATGTAGCTAGTGTCACACAGACAACATGTAGCTAGTGTCACACAGACAACATGTAGCTAGTGTCACACAGACAACATGTAGCTAGTGTCACACAGACAACATGTAGCTAGTGTCACACAGACAACATGTAGCTAGTGTCACACAGACAACATGTAGCTAGTGTCACACAGACAACATGTAGCTAGTGCACACACAGACAACATGTAGCTAGTGTCAGGCAACAGACAAGTCACACAGACATGTAGCTAGTGTCACACAGACAACATGTAGCTAGTGTCACACAGACAACATGT